GGCTGCGCCTCCGCCTTCTGGGGAGACACGGCGGCATCAGGTAACACGGCTGCGATCTGCGCCGCCGCTCACTCCACTGAGCTCCTCTCTGCCCGCTTCCCCGGGAGGAAAGGTTGGAAGGGAGGCGCGAGGGCGTAGGGCAGCCCTGGAGGGACGCCACGCGTGGGGGACTAGCTCCGGAGCCAGGGCACGGGGAACTCTGGAAGGTTTCGAGCCCCACGACGGGGCTTTTCTGCGCCACGCGCCCCAGCCTGGCGGCGACCTTTCTCCTCCACCGAAGCCCCGTGGGCCGGGTGCCAGCGCTGGCTCCGCCTCTCCCTGGAGAAGCGCCCGCCTTCCTCTCTTTCAGGCCCTGGGACCGTCAGTCACTCCCTCCGCTCCATCCCGAGTAACAAGTCAGCTCGGAGCCAAATCCGCCTTTTCCTCCACCTGGCCCCCGTCTTCCCTTGGGAACGCTTCACTTTCCTCGTCTGCAAAATCGTTCAGCGGACTTTGGCAGCAGAGTGACTCCTTGGTTGTTGGTGGTTGTGATTTTTTTTAAGATTAAATCTGTATTCAGATTATTACAGTTGTTCCTCTCCCCCCCCCTCGCCCCCCATAGCTGCCCTGGTGGTTGTGATTTGAGGGGAGCAGTTGGGACTGTTAAAACGGGCATTATACAATGGTTTAAGACTCTCTTGTGCCTTTGGCCCCCTAGAAATGTGTTAGAATGTTTAAATCTTAAAATGAAAATTTAATGTAAAACTAAGACCTAAAGTAAAAATGTATTCTCCTTCTCCCTCCTTTTGGGTACCTTGATAAAGAAATCAGGTGGCCCTAGCTGGATAGAGCGCCTACCTGCTGACCGAAGAGTCCTGGGGTTCGGGTTCGATTCCTGTCAAGGGCACACTTACCTTGCTTGCAGACTCCCCCAGGTCTGGGCCCTGGTCAGGGCTCATGCAGGAGTCAACCAATCGATGTGTTTCTCTCACATCGCTGTTTCACTGCCTTTCCCTCTCTCTTCCACTCTCCCCAACAATCAATGGAAAAATATCCTCAGGTGAAGATTAAAAAAAAAAAATCAGGTGAAGGAAAGAGGGTGGGGAATCAGATCCCCATTATTCAAGCCCTGATTATACATAGTGCTAGTAACATATGGAAATGGGGCCTGGGAGAATTTATTGATCACTTTTTTTATATGGAAGCCATCTAGTGAAATACTGCCCAGAGAATCCCCTTTGAGGAGATGTAAACATTTCTTGGTATTGCAGTGTGTTTTGACACCTGGGCTTGCTGTGGTTGCAGTGTCTGCCTCTTTCATTTGATTTGAAGGGTATTGTCTCTGTTTCACTGTCATTGTGCCCCCAAATTCTAATATTGATGCTTATTCCTTTTTGTTTAAAGTCTTAATAGAGGCCTCCTTCTGCATCACAGTTACCAAGGGCAAGTAGGCTTGTGTTCAGTGTGGGTTCTGGGCCCAGTTCTGCTGCTAACTGGCTAATGATATATGATCTTGGTGTTCAATTTATTTAATATCTTGGAACTTTGTTTTTCTTCTTCTTTTTTTGTTGTGTTAATCCTCACCCAAGGATATTTTTCATTGATTTTTAGAGAGTGGAAGGAAGGGAGAAGAAAGTAACAATGATGTGAGACATACCAACTGGTTGGGGCCGGACATCCCCAATTGGGGCCGGCCTTCCGCACCCCCCTGGTTGGGGCTGGGGATTGAACCTGCAACCAGGTACATGCCCTTGATCGGGAATCGAGCCCGTGACCCTTCCGTGCATGGGTCAGTGCTCTAACTACTGAGCAATGCCGGCCAGGCCAGACCCTTGTCTTTCTTATTTCAGAGAAGCTGGGACTAATCACCTCCACCCATTTAGCCAATGACTCCTAAAGTGAGGGGTCAATCTTGGCCCTCCTATTCCTTGACCTATTAGTAGTAGTATTAACTAAATTGATCACTGTCTCCTTAAAATGCGTTCTTCTTGAAGTCTCGTGAAGTTTTCCTCCTTCTTTCCTGCCCCTTCCTTCTCAGTCTCCTTGACTAGTTCCTCTTCTTCTTAAAAGCTAAAGTTTGGAGTGTCCCAGGCATAGGTGCTCGTCTCTATATTTAAAATCACTACCTTGGAAGACTCTACATTTATGCCTCCAACATGGACTTTTCCTGCTCTAAAATCCATGTTAGGGTATCCAGCTGCCTTCTTGATGCACTTGGATTTTACCACTTGTGCCTGTTTGAATTTTGCACTATTGCTAAACATCTTGGCATAAAGTCCCAAAGTGAGATATTTCTTCCTTCTCTGAAGTCACCGATGAAAGATTCTGTTCCGTGTGCTGTCTGTAGAATGGCTTAGCTGGAGATTGACGGACATTTCGGATGGTACTACTTATCTCAGCATAGTTGCTTGTGACCTTCCTGAGCTCAAGTGTGGTGGAGAAATACTAGTAACATAGCATTAATTTTAGAGCCACTTATCTTTCAATAATCCTCCTATTTTAATGTTTTTTTTGTATGTACATCATGTCTAAGTTTACTCTTTTATGATGGTAAGAGCCATCTATCTGTCTTCTATGGTACTAGAGGCCCAGTGCATGATATTGTGCACTGGTGGGGTCCCTCGGCCTGGCCTGTGGGGATCAGGCCAAAACTGGCTCTCCAACATCCCCCGAGGAGCCCCGAATTACGAGAGGGTTCAGGCCAGGCTGAGGGACCCCACCAGTGCACGAATCCGTGGACCAGGCCTCTAGTATGCATATGAGACCTTTGGTTAATTTCTTCCTACCCTTTCCCTTCCCCCCTTCTCTCTGAGATTCATCAGTCTGTTCCATGTTTCCACGTCTGTGGTTTCTGCTCCTGCGTTGAGCATCATAGCTACTGGTTGGACGGTTGCTGAGGCTTTTATATATATAGATCGTAGTTGCATTATACTGGGAAAAATATGTAAATGACTATCTCAATAATTAATAAATACTTCCAACTCTGTATTTACTTTATGGAGTCATGTAAGACTTGGCTTTGTCAAGTCCCTAACCTAGTGGGAAATGTTTCTACTTGTGAGAAACCTTTGCATAGAATCTTTTCAGTAGGTTTTAGAAATTTCACCATGCCAGAATAAAGAATTCTATGGCACTTAACAAGATTTGAGGTTTAAGTAATCCTTGGGTATGCCATGATAGTTTATGAAAAATGAGAGTTATGAAGAAACCTTCAAGAAGAGCTGATTTGAAATGTACTCTTATGTAAACAACCAACTTTTGCTAAGTACCATCAGGTACAAAGCTAGACAGGGACACCAGATTAAGACAAAGCTCCTACCCTTAAACACACACTATTTAGGAGGACAACATATCTTACGATAGCATTTTTCTTTAGACTTTTATGTCTCTTGTGTTTTACTTTGAGAATTGCCTTTGAGATTTTTAATAACACAACCGGTTATTTTAGGATAATGGAAGGAGGAGACTAGAAGCTTGGTAAGAGCAGATATTAGATATTCCCTTTGATCTTGCCTATTTTTGTCATACCAAAAGCTGTGAGGGGCACAATTGATTTTTGCCTGAATTGATTATGAGCTTGGAATAGCAAAGAAGATTTACACCTGATACATTGGAAAATTTGTCATTTCTTTTTACAAAGAGATCTTTGCCATTAGATGGAAATAAATTCTGGAGAGCACTGGGAATGGGGAAATCTGCTACCATAGCTACAGATATTTTTCTGTTACCCTATAATAATTTACTTTTCTTTAATCAGCATGATGAAGTATGTGGATTATCACCCCAATATGGCAGTGCTTGGATGTAAAGTACAGTGACCAAAATCTCATTAAGCTAGGAAGGGTTCCCAGGGACATGCCCACAAAATGCATAGGCATATATGTGCAACTTCTGATTTTGGATAATGTAAAGAAAATGCGACTTCATTCATACTTTTTAAAAATGTTGATTAAATTATTGTTAAATTTAAATTTTAGAAAGTAAACTACACTTTGTGCTTTACTTCTAGTTCCTCAGCTACTATATGGAGAGAAGCTGGATTATTTGGTTTTTGATTATCTCTCGGAGATAACTATGTGCCTCCTAACTGCTGCCAAAGTAAAATCATCTGTAAGTTAATTATTGTAATCATTTACTTATTATTGTTATCTTTTAATCTTTATTATTGAAAGTATTACGTAAGTTCCCTTCTCTCCCCCTCCCCACAGCTCCTTCTAGCCCACCACTGCCCCAGGCCTTCACCACACTATTGTGTGTGTCCATGGGTTATGCATATATGCATACAAGTTCTTTGTTTGATCTCTTCCCACCCCCCATTGTAATCATTTTAATTACCATGAAATGATACCTTAAAGGATAATTACATAAGAAAATGTTTTCATAGATGACTTATAAAACTTTAAAATGTTAGGTCTCATTATTAGAAAAAATATAAGTTGTTTGGTTATTTACTGTCACTGAAGTCAGAATTATCTTAAGGAACTACAGCTAACTGTGGAAGAGCTTTGCTCACAAAGATGGATAATGTAGCCTTATTTATAACATGCACAGAAAATGAAAGACCTAAATGGCCAACAATAAGGACATGGTTAAGTAAATGATGAGGGATCCAGACAATGAAATCTTATGTAGCCACTAAAATTATACTTAGGAAAAAGGCTTTATTAACATGAAAAATTGCTTATGCTGTCATATATAATATGTGATCAATGTCTTAGTCCTAACTCTGAAATATTTTTGTTAGATCCAGTAAATTAATTATTTTTGTTTTAATACATAAGGCCAAGAAATTGGCCCCAGGCATGGAATATCCCAGCAGAAATTCCATTTAGACCAGAGGACCATTTGAATCTTATAGCTTGTTAGAGTTAATTTAAAAGTGAATCCCTAGTAATGTAACTAATTATCTAGTTTGTGCTTTAAACTACTCTTACTCCGCTCAACTCTATTGGTTTCCTACATCTGTTTCTGTAATCTACCAAATAAATGTAAAAGCATTACCTTCTCTTGACAATGTAGGGGTATGCTGAGGACATGTATAGTGTTGGGAATTTTAGTTTTTAATAAAACTTTGGAGTTAAAACTTCTTTAGATAACAAAAGAAAAGTGATTAATTTGTTTGATTATTCTTATTTCATCTCTTGGGTAGTAATGCAGGTTAAGTTTATTTTTATATCATGTAGATATTTCCATTGATTTATTATAACCTCAAATTCATAAGGGATTAGTGATTTTCAGACAACATAAATATTACAGTTACTTAAAATTTAACTTAAAAGTAGCCTTGAAAATAATTAAAGGATTGATTAGTCTGTTGCCTTTGAGTTGCACAAATGCATTTCATAGCAGATAACATATTTATTTTTATATTTTAGGATTTGGGCTATGTTCCTGATTTTGTACAGACTGCCATGGCTCCATATATAAAGGACATTCATAAAAAAGGTAATTTGATGCCGAAACCGGTTTGGCTCAGTGGATAGAGCGTAGGCCTGCGGACTGAAAGGTCCCAGGTTCAATTCCGGTCAAGGGCATGTACCTGGGTTGCGGGCACATCCCCAGTGGGAGATGTGCAGGAGGCAGCTGATCCATGTCTCTCTCTCATCGATGTTTCTAACTCTCTATCTCTCTCCCTTCCTCTCTGTAAAAAGTCAATAAAATATATTTTTTTTTAAAAAGGTAATTTGAAAAACATTTAAATCATCTTAATTTTCTGTATTTAATGGCATGTCAGGTTTTAAGAAAGAGAGGATATATATTTATATATTATGTAATATATATTACTAGAGGCCCAGTGCACAAAAATTTGTGCACTTGGGCATTTGGGGGCAGGGTCCCTCAGTCCAGCCTGTGCCCTCTTGCAGTCCGGGACCCCTCGGGGGATGACCACCTGCTGGCTTAGGCCTGCTCCCTGGGGGATTGGACCTAAGCTGGCAATCAGACATCCCTCTGGCAGCCTGGCAG